ACCAAGACAGGTTAAGTTTATTTTTGATAAAGATACCGAACTATTTTTATTCTATATAAATTATTACAAAACATTACCTGAAAAATCAGAGTATAGTCACAGAAATGTATGTCAATATGTCGCGTTAAAAGACCCGAATATGTGGTATCAGCTACACAAGGAACACTCCATTTCTCAAATAAATTTGGGACGAAGAACAAGTAAGAACTTTTTACGTCACACAAGTGACGATTTTCGTAGTAATATCGAACATTATTCAGATTTTTTGAAATTAGATGTTATTGTTCGAAAGTTGCATGGAAATTTTAAAGAAGTTTATTTTGAATTATTTCCAAGGAATACATATAATATAAGTACATATAATTTTTCTTACAGACTACTACGACATTACCCAAAAGACAAACAGTGGGATATGTTTACGCAAACCTACTTAAAAGTATTTGGAAATAATATTTTAGATAACTTAATTTACTTAAATTCAAGTTTTATAAAGTTATTTCCGAATAAGACTATTATGAATAAATGGGCAGAAACACACTATGAAAAACACAAATCAAATCGCCTGTTAAAATATTGTCATCCAAATACAGCGATTCCTTTGATAAAAGAAAAAATTAATGTTACGTCAAATATTTATGAACGAAAAATTTTAATAATACTCTTGCTAGAAAATTGTCAGAGAAATGAAGATTTTACGTCACTAGGAGGGGTATTAAAATATATTTGTTTTCGACATCGAAACGAAGAAAATACTTCAGAAATTCTTAATAAAATTAAGGATTTATTTAAATTGGAGGAACTTGATGAAAACCACTGGAATCACATAAATGAAATGCTCACAATCTTAAAATTAAGAAAACAGTCATATTACTATACTGTTACATTTTATCTAAAATATATAGAATATTTAATCCTCCATGGAAAACCCTATCGAAAAGAACTCATATTGTACATCAAAGAATTTGAATCAAGTAGATATACTTATTATGTTGATTTAGAAAATAAAAAAGTCAAAAGGCAAATTTTAATTGAAATCGTTAATATCTATCGTGAAGTCGAAGAAATCGATGATATAGAATTTAAAAAGAAATTTATCCGTATATTAATTGAGTTCAATGAACATAATACTGAATATATTATTGATTTATCAGATTTTTCAGGATTTCTTCCGTACATAAAGTCAATATTGGATTCTGATTATACGATGTTGAAAGACAATGAGAGAAATCTATTAATTAAGGTTATCAATTATAATTTTAAGTTTCCAGAAAAGCCAACAATAGTAATTGAGGAAACTCGGCTTCTTGAAATATTTCAACAAGATAGTAAAAAAAGCTTTAATTTCGGCCATATTATCGAGAAGAGTATTAAAAAACTGGATCGATCAGAATTTGACGATAGTATCGTTAAGTTATTTTGGGATAACCTAGAAAAATTTAAATATTTTGATTTCTGTCGAAAAATTATACACTGGCTATTTCTGAATAATCCAAAAGCTATAACTCCTTATTTCGATTTGATATGGACGGCAAATCAAACGTACATTAAAATTAAAGAAATTAAATTTATGTCTCATTTGGGTTTCGACAAGAAAGTTGTAGCCTATTGCACCGATAAGTTGACATGGCTTGATGATTTTTTGAAAGATACATTTGAAAAACAGTCTCCAAGCAGTACCAAAATGGAAACTGATAGTGAACCCCAGAAAGAAATTGACCTAGATATGTATAAAAAAGTAATTGAGTATCTCTCTATATTATTAACAACAGATGAGTACATCGAAATAATTTCGAAACGATTTCTACCTGTTAAAGAAAAGATAAATCTTGCCGATGAAGCGTTAAATCAAATGTACTACTTACAATGTGAAGTTGCAGGATCCCTGAAAAAACTGCACGAACCTACAATTGTGCTTCCTACAGTGATGAAGTTCTGCGTAGGTGACTATTTACAGTCTGCCTTGCCCTCACTCTATAGTATTTGCTATAGAGCTCCAGAGGAGCTGCTATATTCCTACATGGATGTATTATCCAAAAGAGCAGTTTCTGTTAAAAAACACGCACTGTTTTTAAGTTGCGAAGTTCTAAATTATGATTATGCTTTAAGTAAATTGCGAAACTTCGACGAAAATCATGTTTCCAGTCAGAAACATATGTTCTCTGCTACATTAAAATATTTTCGTAAAAATCCTTGTGAAGAATTGCTAACCTTGGTTGCTTTGAACTTAAATACAATTGATAAAAATGACGATGAAACGTTAACTAGTTTGGTAAATATTGTTGTACCAAAAAAATATAAAACTGTGTATATCAAAAAATGTTGGAATTTCTTTGAAAATTTAAGAAAGGAAGACATTAAAGTACAACAATATTTAAAATTATTTTTAGATGCTATTTTAGCCTCAGAGGACACTTTCTTATCTTTGACATTTGATTTTTATAAGCACGTTATTACACATTATTTTAAAAACCCTCCTAAGAATGACCACAATTTAAACGGCATTAATCGATTTGTCTGTTCAGTTTTACGAAATGTGAGATTAGAAGAAGCTGATAATTTCAAATTCATTTTTGACATTATTCCCTCATTTCCAACACACGCTATTAAATCATTTTTTGATAATTTCTATGATTTAGCGACAGACGATGTAAAAAACAATAATAAAATTGACACAGCTAATAATTATTATATAGAACTTTTTAAACAACATTGGTTCAATACTTTTACGCCCATTAAAATGTTCAATGAGCACGTGTTACTTGATTTATTATATTTAAAGTGTAAATCATCTGACAGTATTGTCGAGAATTACGCAAAAGAAGCGTTGATTTACTTAGAAGAACTGATTGCAGAATATGGGCTCTATATTTATTATAAATTTAAAGATTTAGTATTGCACAAACACACATTCACTAAAAGGGAAATATATTTATTTCTTTATAATATACTAACAATTAAAAATTCAACTATTAACTATATATTGGTTATTGACATAATAAAAGACCAGTCTTGTAGCGATGAAGTAGATGATATTCATCGTAAAATCATGAAAATCTTAAGAAATTCAGATCAGCGTGTTGTATCTGTGTACTTTAACAGTTATTTTGGATAGAAAGTATATACGATATATATATACGAGTATAGTAAGTTGTAGAAATGTTTGAAGAAATTTATATATGTACAAGATTCACAGTAACACACTTTAAAAGAGATAAAAATTTTTACTTGTGCTTTACGGAAGATATGTGGGAAAAAAATTAATTATATATTGTATTTTTGTAATAAATATTGCGACTGTATTTTGCATTTTTTTAAGCTTTGTACTGATTTTTTATATTGTTGCTATTAATAATATATTGTAACATTTGATCTGTTTGTATAATACCTAGCCTGTGTTTTCCAGTTAATATTTCCTTGAAATCAGTCAAATAATATTTTTCTTTAGATTTGAAAAAAAAAAGTTAAAAATTGCCTTGAATTTTTCGGATGTTGCATACGTTTATCTATTTTCGATTGAATTTCTAAGAAATATATATTTTATTCGAAAATACGAACCATATTCTAGTTATTATTCTTTAATTTAAATTATTATTTAGTTATTATTTCTTTAATTTAAATTATTAAATACTAGAATATGTTCATATAACTCCAATGCTATCAACCATAATTAAATGTTCTTTTCTAATTACTAAAATACTCAGTGGTGTCAAAATTCTAGTGTTCTTAGTATCTTAGCTTCTCGGTATCTCCGCCACTGGTTGTTAGATTTGTGTACCAACTCAGTAGATCTTTTCCAATAATTAATTAAATCATTAACCCAAGATATTTAAATATATAAATAATTTTATTAAGTTTTTGAATGATTTTTGACATAGAACCCACTATTAAAGTTTGCCAGAGTATATCATTAACATTTTGTATATTTAGTCAATGCAAATAGGTATCTATATCTACACCAATAGTCAAAAACCAGATATTGTGATGTCCAAAATATACTTTGCTGGCAGACATTCAAATATAAGTAAAATATGCGAAAACAAAAGGGTAAATGTTTTGGTATTTGGGATATAATTCAATTTATAAAAATATTGATAAAAACTCTTACGACACTTTTTCTATAACTTAATATTAATGGAGTTAATAATAATAACCCACCAAATTATTATTATTATTTTTAATTAATATTTGAAATAATTTTTCTTTTCAGTTAAACTATAACTTTAATATATTTATTACTAGTAACAAACTGCACCTCCTATGATCATAATAATTATTCATAATTTTTATTTGTATGTTTCCAGGAAGTGGCTTGATATTGAAGGCCATTAACTAACACGTGTTACAAAAATATTCTCTGGTTCCAAAGTGGACAATATTATGTGCTTCCGAGAAAATGCAAATTAAATATATTGAGGCACGTACAAACAGTAAAAATTGATCTATTTTGGAATATAAAAGAAGCGTTCCATAGTTTGTTCAATATCAATCATTTAAGCAATTTAAGGTTTTTTTATTATTTTTTTTCGTAATTTGTTATCAAAAGTAAATATACCAGACTGAAAAAAGTTATAATAAAATATTAATTAAAAAAATAACTGAAGTTATGTAAGTCCGTTAACACGAGTTTTCGCAAAAATGTTAGGAACTTGTACCACTTATTTTTATGAATAGAAAATCACCTCATGATTTTTTATGTCACTAATGACGGAAATTTTGTTACAGTTTATTCTTCTTTCCGGATTCCGAAAAGGAATTAAAATTAAAAATAATTTTTTTCCATTTTAATTCTCTGAAGTTAGTATTTATATCTTAATACCTATTGGCACATATCATATCTGATTGTTTAATATTTTATCAAAAACAAACCGATATGGTTATCTTGTATTTGTTTTATATGATACCCTTCAATCATTATTTTTTATGGTCTGCTTCCCACATACCTATTTAGGTATGTAGGAAGGAGTAAGATTATCAATCATCTACCAAAGTTAAAAGGTTAGTGACTATTGTGACATAAAACTGCATTTTGTAATTTATTTCTAAGTGCATTTCTACGACAGTCTTATTTTCGTTATAAAATTAGGTAACTAGGTAAACCAATTATATTTTTAAGTAAATTAAAGAAAATTTTTAATTATTTAATTATTATTATTTCATAGTAAATGAAAGCAATAATACAAACGGAACGAATAATATTTAAGATTATTATAAGAACTTTACAGGGTGTTCCAATGACGGTACAAAAACACAAACAGAAAAACAAGAGTAACAATTTTTCTTAAAATTACATTTATTACAAGAATCATTGAAGAGATAGACTTCGAAGTTGGTGTAATGTTGTTTTCTCATTGTTACTACGTACAGGTAAGATAAAACTAAAACTAATCAGAAACGTCGAATAAGAGAAGTCCGAATTTGAAATGTCAAATGTAAAAGTTATCAGACTTCGAAAAAAATCTTCAGACGCTGAAAAATTGGACAAGTCCATTTTCAATAAAAACTTTTCTGCTTTTCGATCTTTTTTCCATGAATTCACGTTCACGTTCACGTTCATTCAGTTCACGAGTAAAGTTTTGAAGTCATGAAAATATTAAGAGTCCGTTAGTAGCCTTTCCAATAATTTTACTCCAATATTTTAAAAATTAGGTGAGCACAGTTGTTGTCAATGGTTGAAAAATTTTTGGACTGGATGCTATGTCGTCGGTTTTAAGTCTGTATCTCTCGAAACGTGAAGAAGTATAAACGGACGACGTGGCAACCAGCCCATGAATGGTTTAATTACCCTTCATGGCAGTTATGCAAATCTTTAAATTATACTAATTACTCTATGCTCCGAACAAAACTGGTTTGGGACTGGTTTGTTCAAATTTCTAATAGAGACTTCAAATAACTTTTTTTACATTTGAAGTCAAGGTTAATACAAAACCGTGATTTAAAAAAAAATTGTTTTTATTTCTGTTAATTTCTCATACATGTGCTTAGTTTCCTCTAAGTATTTTTATATATTTTTTTTCAGTAAGTTCTACAAAATATATACATTTAGTATAGTATGGGCATATCCACAAAGTTAGAATTCTTTAAAAATAGTAACATTATGAAAAATTTACGTATTCAGAAAGGTACATCAAACACTATTTTTCGACGTAGTCACCTTCAACCTCAAAGCACTTTGTGAGCCGAGCCGAGCTTTCTGATACCTTCGTTAAAAAAATCTCCTGCCGCCTCTCGGGCCCATTGTTTCACGGCATTGTGAACCTCATCGGCAGTAGAAAACCTTTTTCCACACATAAACACCTTCAGAGAAGAGAAAATCAGAATGTCACAGATCAGGGATGTAAACGGGGCGGTTGATGATGTTCCAATCGAATGAATCCAAGAGTTGCTTTGTGTCGTTGGATGTGTAGGGACGTATATTGTCAATAACAAGAACACTCCCTTCATTTCTGTATCGCCCTCCATAGTGTTTTCAGGGTTTAGCAGTATTAATTGTTTCCCTCTGGGGCAAAAAGTTAATAAGGAGAATACCTTTACGGTTCCAAAATACAGTTGCCAACGGTTTTGAACTTTTTTGCTGATGATGAAGACGGATGTCGCCATTGCATTAAATGTCTTTTCGTCTAGGGGGTGTAGTAGTCCACCCTACTATTCGTCGCCAGTCACAATACAGCCAAATTCCCGTGAGGATACGATTCTTTGGCTTTGTGTTGATCCGTGAGCTGTTTTGGTACCCATCTCGCATATAATTTTTGTAAACCAAGTATTTCAGTAATTATTTCATGCAGAAGAGATATGGAGATTTGTGGAAACACTTTGAACATCTCGTCAAAAGCCAGTTTTTTTTTTGACATCAATTACACAATCGCCACGTAGGCAATAATATTTTATTTTAATGTCTCTGGGTTTGTCATGAAATAGATCTGGTAACCTTAGTCATGATTGAGGGACACCCACTCATTTGTTCATCATGAACATTCGTTCTGCCAGCTTGTCACAACACGACTTGTGCACATTAGTACGATTCATCACACCATCCCCATAAACAGTTTTGATTTCGTTAAAAATCTGAAAAGCCGCCTTTCCCTTTGCACTCACTTCAACTCCACCCTACAACAACAGTTCTTAACTGACTGAGACAAATGAGCGCGCATTCTGTTCTCAACACCTTGGCCTTGAATGTAGTGTTTCAAACATTATCCAAAAAACCTCAGGGCATCAGTACTCTTACTTTGTGGATGTGCCTCGTAATATTCGTATACTAAATAATTTGATTTATTTAGCATGAAAGCAAAGGAAATTTATTTTTGACAAATATACTAGAGCAGGCGTCTCCACATATGAGAAAAATATAACAAAAAAAAAAATAAATTAGTAATTGAAAAACAGAGTAGGTAAATAGTTTTTTTTCTATTGTATGCATACAAGATTAGGAGACCGCCTAGCCGGGTGTCTTGGCCGACGGATTTCGATCTGCCGAGTCAAGCATCACGGACGCAGGCTGGAATTAGGATGGGTGACCTAGGGCAGGCTCGGGGACGTGGCTGTGGCAGCCTACCAGAGACCTGGGTCGCTCAACGTTTTCCGCATGTGTGTGGTTCACGATAAATGGTAATGAGAACAGAACAAGAAATCTCTGTAACTCAAGACCATGCTATCATACATAAACTGTACGAGACTTTGCCACCAAGCCACCTGCGTAGTAAATATGATTTGAAGAAAAGTACTCGAGTAATGAAGGAGGGTGTACAAGGGGCCTAATAAGGCCTAAGTGCCGCGGTGGAAGACAATTCCACCACACCACATATATATACATGCATACAAGATTACATAACTATGAGTTTCTTTTCTTTTATAAAAAAAAATTTATAGTAAAAAAAAATAAAATGTCATAATGATCAATCAAGCGTTGATTTCTATGTTTTTAAATTCACAGGAGGGTGAAATATTTCAAAAAATGTTTTAAAGTACAAAAGATATGCCACAAATGCATGATTTTGGAATGTGTTGAACTATATTGAAAATGCATTGAATAATTTACTTTTTTGTCTTTGAATTACAATTTTAATCTTGATTTTTTTTAAACAATTTCACTAATTTTGTTTAAATTGTATAAATCATCTTAAGCTTGTTTGAAATTCCTCAAATCCCATCTAATGCGGATCCTACTGACTAGTTTTTGTCAAATTTTACTTTTAATTTTTGTTTAATTTAACAAGAGGAAAATTTGTCGCAACGTCGCTGTTATACCCTGTAGAACAATTTAAGTAAAAAAATTAGTTACAGTTTTAAGTTAACATAATGTAGTTGTTGATACAATGCTAATAATAACACTTAACAACTTACCACAATAACAGTTTCTGCTGCTGAGCTTTCATAAATTATTACAAGGCACGTGACTATTAATTTTGTTTGGAACATTAATTTTAATTCCTTCACATTGGTAATTCTGTTTCACCGGCTGGTGATTGTATAATTTTTCACGAAAATTTATGCAATCAGCGATCGCATTATCTCGAGCATAGACGTAAGGGTTTGTCATTGTTCGTTGTAAACGAATTATTAATATTAGTGATGCTATGATTTACAGATTTTAAGCCAAAAGAACAACCGCCCAAAAGTGGGGTGCCTAAGCACGGTGGTCACGTGGCTTGTAATCATTTATGAAAGCTCTGTATTACAAAACCGCATTGTGATGATATTGATCTGTTTTTTTCCTCTTCTGTACATGTTTTTTTATTATCTATTAGTATATATCATCAAAAAGATGTTTGAGTGTTAAAAGTAGGTAAATAAGGTTGTATGAAATATTTTTTTGTAGACAACTACGCCATGGAGAATTCAGACTTTGTAACACGGTTCTATAATTTAGAGGGAGATTTAATTTCAGAAAGAAAAAATAATTTTTTTAATCTTCTAAAAGCCCAGTCTGCGCCTCTAAATGAAGACGATTTGAAAGGTTTATGCCCAAGAACATATTTAGAAAGTATGTTCCAAATAGACGTCTATTTTAAGATATCTACGACTTAATTAAGGGCGGAAATGAAGTATTTATCAGTAAAATCCTAAAACATCCTTCGCTTTTAATGGATACCATCGAAAGTATTTCCGCTGAGAGTTTTGTTAATGATTTTCTTCCATGCACATCATACTCCATAAGAATGAAGATACTGAAGAGAATCGCTTTTGTTTTGAAGGAGCATCAGATGGATGAGATAGTTTCTGCGGTACACAAACGGTAAATTTTTATATTCATCATTTAATGTATACATTGAGGGAAATCGACCAAAAAGAAAGTTTTGCTAAGGTTATCTGCATTATAATAGCAATAATTCTTCGCATTAGTGTTAGTTAGTTAGCAAAAAACGTTTTAACTACTAATAAGGTTCTTTGGCAAAACATTTTTTATTATGACAGCAATGTAATCTTTCAGGAGCCTATATTTTTTACGGTTAGGTACTTATGGCTAAAAGATATTTCCTTCAGTGTAACTGATCTCGTAGATTTGTGGACAATAAAGTCTCTAACCTAAAACTTCTAAATCATATTTTATAAATGACCATAAATAGTTGAAGTGGGTAACTTTTTATTATCCACAGCTTTACTTAGCTACAGATATTTTTTTATTAATAATGTGCATACACATTGTTTGCCCATGGTCAGTACCAGTGAAATATTTAAATTTGATCTAATCCACACGACTTTTTGCCAACTGTTACTATTTATCTCTATATCTGAAACAAAGTCCAATCGAACTAATCATCGCTTATTATCTAACACCACATGATATTAATACTCTAAATATTTTGTCGACTGTTTTTTGTTTCGACAGTACATCTACTGTTTACATTAAAATTGATTGTGCTTCGACATTAATCTAGTATTGGTAAAATTGTAGTTATTTTAATTTGTTTAATACATATTTTTTTAAATTGGCGTAGAATTATAATGACCATAAATCGATGGAATTGCTATTGATATACGGTGAATGTAGACAAAATGCTATAACGCAGAACTGATGTAAGGGATTCGTCTTCCATTTCGCCAACATCCAGTTGCTCAGATGCTCTTTGAACACTATTTCAAATAGCAACCGAGTCTATAGAATTAAAAAAAATTCAAGTTGTATAAACACTCTACAAACATAATTCCGTGAAGTATTTCACATTTCGGATTGATTATTCCGGAAAGCATAGTTTTTGTAGTGGGAAAAGTAGGGTGGCCTCGACATATGACCCCCCTTATGTACGCTCCTGTAGACAAATATTCATAACTATAATGTTTATGGTTACATATTCAAATCCTAGATAGATTAAGTTTTATTATAAGAATTTTCGTGTTACAGTTAACTGTTTTAGTAAAAAAATATATTTGCAGGTACGGACTTCATGTATCTTCAAAAATACTGCACACTTGTAGTAACGAAGACAATTAAAGAATATTTATCTAACTGCGAGATTATACTGAAACCAAGGCAACTAAAATTCATTTTTGATAAAGATTCCGAACTGTTAGTGACATATTTAGAATATTGTAAGAAATCAACAATATAATCACAAAGAATTATGTAGATATGTTTCTTCAAAAAACCCAAAAATGTTATTAATGCTTAAAAAGAACGTACCATTAATTGCAAAAGATTGGGTCGCAGAATAACTAAAACATTAATAGATCATGGTCGTAATGATTTCCTTAATAATGTTGAATTTTATTCGGAATTCTCAAAAGTAGACGCGATTGTTCGAAAATTGCATGGGAATTTTAAGGAAGTTTATTTTCAATTATTCCCGAGAAATGTTCATGAAATACGAATGTACAATTTCTGCAACACGCTTTTAAAGTACTACCCAAAAAATAATCAGTGGGACCTTTTTTCACAGACTTTCACGAGAGTCTTTGAAAAAGATATCCTGGATAATTTAAGTTATTTAACAGTGGAGTTTATGCCTTTCATTCCAAATAAAACTATACTGAACAAACTAGGAGAAGTACTTTACAACAAAAGCAAAGAGAATTACAATTTAAAATTATGTGATCCGAATAAAGCAATTCCCTTGATCAAAGAAAAAATTAACCTTACATCGAACAGGTACGAAAGAAAAATGTTAGTAATGCTCTTATTGGAAAACTGTCAAATTAACGAAAACTTGAAGTCTTTAGAAGAAGTGTTACAGTATATTTGCCTTCGACATCTAGATGAAAATCTTTACGACATACTTGAAAAAATTAAAGATAATTTTAAAATGGAAAAGTTCAATGAAATCCATTGGAATTACATATACAGGGTGATTCTTTAATATTGCGAAAAATTTCAGGGACAGGTTCTGTAGGTAAAAATAAGAAAAAAGGTTCCCATTAGCATGTGTCCGGAAACACTTCGTTTCCGAGATACAGGGCGTTCATTTTTTGTAATCTACTTTTAATACTTGTTATTTCAAAAGTCCTTTAACCGATTTATTTGAAAATTGACTGGTTTATGTTTAATAATAGGAGCCATTTTTTGTATCATTAATAACATAATACAAAATGTTACAAAATAATTTTAATAACTTTTGCTCTGCACTTATTTATTCCATTTTTTGTATCAATAATAACATAATACAAAGTACAAAATGCAAAATAACATAATACAAAATGTTACAAAATAATGATTTTAATAACTTTTGCTCTGCAGTTATTTATTCCAGGTATTAATGCACAGTGAGGCAAGAATTATTAGAATGAAAAAAATAATGGAATTAATGAAAACCAGCGAAGAAGTAAAGTTATAAAAGTTGTTGAAAATGACACCTCTAATTGCACTACATATGCTTCGATCCTGCAACGCATTGGTTGACGAACACGTTCAAAAATGCCTGGGGTGTGCCGAATTGTTTCACACGCTGTAACAATACGATTTCTCAATTCCTCGACATTTTCAATTGGAGTGAAATAAACCAGATGTTTGAGGTGGCCCCAGAGAAAAAAATCCAATGGATTTAGGTCAGGAGACCGCGGAGGCCAGGGTTGTGGACCTCCTCGACCTATCCAACGATTTGTGTACACTGCATCCAAATATTGTCGCGCAATTAAACTAAAATGTGCTGTAGCGCCATCGTGCATAAAATACATTTGGAGTCTTAAGTGATACGGGACGTCTTCCAGTAGTATCCGCAACTCCTTTTCAAGAAAATTACGATAAGCTTTTCCAGTTAGCCTCCTTGGTAAAAAGAATGAACCAATCAAGTGGTCTTCAACAATTTCGACCCATACATTTACTGAAAATTTATGTTGATGGCGGCTTTCAATTATTGCATGTGAATTCTCATCTGCCCATATGTGATTATTATGAAAGTTCATTATGGCTTCTTTGGAGAAATTAGCCTCATAGGTGAAAAGTATTTCTGCCAAAAACTGAGGATTTTGTTCAATTTTTTCTTGAATCCATCGGCAAAAAGCCAACCTTCGAGGAAAATCGACTGGTAAAAGCGCCTGTACTTTTTGGATGTGATATGGATACAAAAGCTGATCTTTCAGTATCTTAAAGACTGTTGACTGACTAATATTTAGATTTGCGGCAATCTTCTTCCATTTGTGAAGTTAAACTGTACGAGGTCGCCCGTTTTCAGCAGTCATTTTTTAAAAGATTCCTGTTTCATTGCACAATTAATATATCTTTCCTCATAAATACGCCTAGCCCTTAACGAATTACCGTCGGCAAGACCATAAACAAAATGCATATCGCACAATTCATTATTTGTGTAATTCTTTCTTTGCAGAGAAATATCAGTTTTAAAACACGAAACACTCCTACACTCACAATGTGACAAACAGTAATCAACTACTGACAAAAAACAATTATTGACAGTTGGTGGGCATTCCAATTTCCAAGCCAACTAGGACTATTTTGTTTGAACACGATAAGATAATTTAATCAGGCATCTATCAAGACAGATACCCTAATCGTATAGTAAAAGGACTTTTGAAATAACAAGTATTAAAAGTAGATTACAAAAAAAATGAACGCCCTGTATCTCGGAAACGAAGCGTTTCCGGACACATGCTAATGGGAACTCTTTTTCTTATTTTTATCTAAAGAACCTGTCCCTGAAATTTTTCGCAATATTAAAGAATCACCCTGTATAAATAAAATGATTTTAGATTTAAATTCAAGAGGCCAGTTGAGTTATTATATTGTTATTATGTTTGCCTTAAAGCAGATAGAATTTTTGGTTGTCCATGAAAAATCAATTAGAAATGAACTCATAACATATATTGAGGAAATTGAATTGAACATCGGTAACCTACTGATGGGGTTAAAAAATCGTAATGTAGAAAAACAAGTTTTATACGAAGTTATCAAAATATATCCAGTTAAGATGGAATACATAAATGACATGTCCTAGAGATTATTGACATTTCAAGTTTTCCAATATTTGTTACATATATACTGTCACTATTGGAAAGAGACTCAACAACATTGGAAAACGGAGAAAAAGACATATTATCCAACATTATCAATTATAATTACATGTTTCCAGAAAAACCAGTAGTAGTAATTGACGAAATAAAAATTCTTGAAATATTTCGACACAGTAAAGAGAACTTTCAGTGAGACGAAGTTGTAGAGAATATTGTAAGAAAAGCGAACCGTTCAGAATTTGAAAACGAGGTCTTGCAATTCTTTTGGAGCGACCTTTTAAAACGTTTTAATCTGGGCAGGAAGATCATACAGTGGTTATTTATTAATGAGCCAAAAACTATATTTCCTCACTTTGAGTAGTTATGGTCACTGGATGAATATTGTATTAAAAGTAGAGACTCAAACTAATATCACATTTAAGTTTCGACAAAAAAGCTCTAGATTATTTTACTAGTAAATTAGAATGCATTGACGATTTGCTGAAGAAAATAAACAGTAACAAAGTTCCTGAATGCACCACTGCCATGGAAGTTGATAATGAACCAAAAACAACGAAAATCGAAACGTATGCAATCAAAAATATAATTAAGTATCTATCTACTTTTCTGACAACAAGTGGATTTATAGAGGTTGTTGCAAAATGGTTCCTCCCTGTCAAAGGGAAAATAGATCCTGCAGATTTAGCATTAAAAGATATCTATTTTTTACAATGCGAAGTTGCAGGGGCCTAAAAGAAAATGAATGAACCTTCAGTTGTACTTCCTACTGTAATGAAATTCTGCTTAGGTGATTACCTACAGTCCACCTTGCCCTCGCTCTACAGCATTTGTTACAGAACTCCGGAGACGTTGTTGTACTTATACATGGACATGTTGTCGAAGAGGGCAGTTTCGGCAAGAAAACATTCATTATTTTTAAGTTGTGAGCTGTTAAACTACAATTATACATTAAATGGATTGCAACATTGTGAAGAAAAAAATGTTTCTTGTCAAAAAAATATGTTTTCTGCAACTTTGAAATATTTTCGAAAAAATGGTAATGAAGAGTTGCTAAACGTAATTACTATCAATTTAACTAAAATTAATAAACATGATACGGAAACTTTACATGATTTGATTTACTTTGATGTACCAAAAATACATAGAGGAATGTTTATACAAAAATGTTGGCGCGCGTTTGAAAATTTGAGAACGGAAGAAGTTGAAGTTCAATATTACCTACATTTTTTTCTGAATGCCATAATAGATTCAGAGGACAATTTGTTATCTCTACCGATTGATTTTTGTAAACACATTATTACTAATTACTTCAAGGATTCTCCAGAAAACGATTATGATTTAAACGATATCCATCGTTTTGTACATTTAGTTTTACAAAATCTAAAATTAGAACAAACTGATAATTTTAAGTTTGTATTTAATATAATCACTTTATTTAAAAATAATAACAATACAAGGACTATTAAAACATTTTTTAACAAATTTTTTGATATTATACAAGATATCAAAAACAACAGTAAAATTGATACAGTTAATAATCATCACATAGAGCTTTTTAAGCAGTATTGGTTTAACACTTTTACACCCACAAATATGTTCGATGAGCATGTATTACTTAATTTATTATATTTAAGGTGTAACATAAGTCATTTGATAATCTTGTTGAAAATTATGCCAAAGAAGTGGTGATTTACTTGGAAAAATTAGTTGAGGAATACGGGCCTTACATTTACGGTCAATTTAAAGATTTTGTTTTGCAAAAACATTCGTTCACAGAAAAAGAGAAATATTTATTTCTTTATAGTACATATATTAAAATTTAGTTCAACTTTAAATTGTATACTCGTTCTTGATTTACTAAAATGTCAGTATTGCTGCAATGAAATTAAAGATATTCGTTGCCAAATTATAGAAATATTGAAAAACTCTAATCAGCCTATTGTACTTCTGAATTTTGACAACAGTTTTGAATAAAATTTGAATAGTTAAATTATTATTTAAATGACTAAGTACCTAGTTATTCTCTTTCCTGTCACCATATCATCTAATAATTTTGACTCAACCGTGTAAAGATGCAATCGATGCTCAAATGTGCATACCTTATCAACTAATTAAAAAATATATCTACTTATAAAGAAT